CTTCAGAAACTATAAAATAAAAGTTGCTTTAGGTCTTCATCTGATTTCATCTCATATGCTGCAAAATATATGCAAACAATTAGAACAAATTCTTTAACTAACCCGTGTCATCACCTTAAGGACTTGAATTTATTAATTATAGTTTTTTAGTACTACAGTACAAAATAAATAGCAATATGAAGACCAAACCATCAATGTAAACATTTAGGATGTGAACTAGGTATCAATACATATTATGATGGAATTTGTATGCATATCTTTTACCTTGGAAATATCTTCTACAGTGGGACAATGGGTCTTAAAGGTGTTTAATTTATAAACTACATCCTAAGCTTGTTTGTTCTTAAAGGCATATGTCAGTATGCTCCCCTTTTGGCAAAGTTTGAAAGAATTTGTTACAAAATCATCATCAATATGAATTGTTGAAATCTCAACCTTCATGATCATGGTGATGATGATTTTCGAACAAATCCTTTCAAAATTTTCCAAAAGGGGAGCATACTGACATATGCTTTGAAGAACAAACAGGCTTTAGATGTAGCTCATGTGGTGCTGTCATTCTAGAGAGATGATGAGTAAATTGAAGACCTTTAAGACTTGCATTTTTTGAAATAAAATCCTAATTGCTTCACCTTCTTTCATATTGATCAAATTCAAGCAAAACATATGTATACAGTTAGACTGAATTTTATAATAAACAAACCTCTAGGAATTTGAGTTATGTTATGTATAGCATGTGAAGAGGTAACTGGAGAGTGCAAGTAAAATGACATCACAGAAACAAACTTAACATAAAAGATTATTATTACTGTTTTCAAGAAGTGCATCAACCTAGAAACCATTATGATAATTATTCAGCCACATAAATATTGTAAACGTATTTATACTGAAAATTACTCAGAATAATAACAAAATTGAACTGTGATGGACTATGAATTGTGAATTGATTAAAGTGAGGTTACTTGGATGTTTCATAGAAGTGAGATCAAATGACGGGATTCAATTACCTGCATACACACCGCTCTTTGGATGTTTCTTGACCAACTTTGTGGTGTTGGACGAGACTACCCCTGGCTCCAAATCACTTCCAACCCTGCTAAGAATTATGTTTTGCAGGTACGAAGTGGTCATGTATCATAACTGAAATAAAAAAAATTAATAAAAAAAAATCATCAAATGCCTTATGTGCATAGGATTTAACATGGTAAACTTCTTCAATCGACCAGGAAGAATGACTTTAAAACATTACAAAATGTGGATCAAATTAAAATCATAGACTAACATTTATACAAACTGAAGGAATCATGTGACATGTTTCTAATTAAAATTTGATATCTAGTAAAGTAAGGTCACAGGAAGGAATTCAATTACCTAAAAACCCATCGCTTCTTAGATGTTTCTTGACCAACTCTGAGGGATAGGTTGTTTGTTTGCAATCAATAACTTGTCAGCTAGGTAAGTAGGTAACATCAAAGGCAAAATGAAATATTGAAATGTAAAAATTGGAACTAGGCGATTAGGGCCCATACCTAAGAAAAACAATTGCTATTATTTATCACAATTTACATATATAAATCCATTACGTTTTTATTGGGCTTCAATATCAATTGAATTTTATTTTAATAAATTGAAAAATATATATTTCATATAGTGGAGATAAGATGGCAATGATGCTTTGTTTGATGCTCTGGGTGGATAACAAATTCGGAAGGCATAAATTATAGCAAAGTAAAATTAAATTGCTTTACCAATACTATTTTAAAAAAAATCTACGTATTCTTATTTTTGACTTTTTTAAATACACCACTTTGGTCAAAAAAGTCAACTTAGTATACTAATTAACACTTTGACATTTGACCCACGCACGACTGTAATTTCACTATCGCATTAACCCTACAAATTAAAGAATTTCAATATCTTCATGGGGTCATTTAATTTATTCAGCTTAATCATATAGAACTTATACTTTAGGTAATCAACATTATCACATTACAGTTCCAAATTAAGTTGGACCTTGTTGGTCATTTTGACTACTTAACTCTTTTGGATATTTTCTTCAAAATGATCATTTGTCCAATTTTGGTAGGTTTATATGGTAAAACATGAAATATTTAGTATTTAAGATATTTGAAACTTTGGCATTACATGTATAAAGTTTAGATTTTGGACCATTTAGGTCATTTTGTCTTAGGTCCATTTTTGGCATGTTGGTCAAAATGACCAAAATGGACAATTTGCACATTATATTCGGCTTAGTAAAAAGAAAATCAGGATTTTGGTTTTTTTAAACTTTATGATTCTAGTATAAAGTTTCTTTTTCGGACTATTTAGGCAAATTTTTGGCATGTTCATCGACATGACCATTGGGGTTATTTTTCTCGATATGATCAGCCGGTAAACAGAAATAAAAAAAATAGTAATTTGCTTATTCACAATTTGGTATTTCAAGTTTTTTCTCATTTATCGTTTTTAGTGTTAAATTACTGATTTCCCCTATTGCATATGCAAGTCTTCATAGCCCCACTAACCTCCTTCCATATACCCTACAACCTCTCAAAGTCCATGCATTAAATGTTATAATTTGCATTTTGTTGTCTGGTGCTCAATACCCTGAAGTTAGTTTTCTGGATGAGAATAAAAGGTTTCTTCGAAATTTGCTCGATGCTTGTTGGCAGTTTCTACTGGTCTCCCTGAAAAAAATTGTCAATTGGTTGATGTAGATTAATTAGAATTAGAACTCATTTGTCTCATTTGTGTTTTGACCTAAAATTGACAATAATACCCTTATTGATAAACTAATTTTTTAACAAAATTATTGATTAATGATGGAGAACTCTAATTATAAGAGTGTACTTTATTTTTCTTAATTTTCTTATAATTGTACTATTCCCAGTTCTTTGCTGGCATTTTAATTTAATATAATTTAGTTTTTATTCAATTTCTATTAATTTATAATATTTTATTTCATTAATGATCAATTAAAATATCATTGTATTTACTTTGACTATTTTTACAAAAGATGTTTAGAGTTCAACTATTAAAAATTGAGTATCAGTGGCAAAAAAATACTTATGGTCACATGTTTTTTTTTGTGTTATCATAACAAAATATTCACTTTTCGACACCCTATAGAGTAGAACATGGCGGTATAAGAATACTTATACGCAAAAGTTTTAAATTCTTTTATCATGAAAATTCTTCATTTTTGACATACACAAGAATTAAACCGTAACCATGAAATACTAATAGTCATGTGTTTCTTCTTTTTTGATAACAATTGTTTACTTTTAGTCGCACGTGAAAATTAAACCGTAACCATACAACACTTGTAGTTCAAAGTTCTTTTTTCATTAGATAGTAACCATATAATACTTATAGTTATTGTTATGTTCCCTTAAAACATGGCAGTAGAATACTAAAAGTCACATGTTTTTTATGATTATTAATATTTTTTTATTTATAACCATACGTATGAAATTAATAAATGTCCACAAAGTAATAACAGTCATATATTTTCTTTCTTGTATCATGACTATTATTAACTATTAAACATGCATAAGAGATTAAATCATGATTATGTGTTTTAAAAATTGGGCAATAAAATACTCATAGTCACATGTTTTATATTTAATCATAGTTTTTGTTTTTTTTTTCCTTTTACACACCTAATAATTTAATGAGTGGCCATTAAATACTTACAATTATTTTTTTTTCTTTAATGATGAGTATCTTTTACTTTTATACATACACAAAATTATAAAAAGTAACAAAAAATTATGTATAGTTACAAGTATTTCCTTTTTTCATGAATGTGATTTACCTTTTAATCACACATATAACATGTTTAACTATGACTATATCATACTTATAGTTATACATTTTTTTTCTTTTATCATGACAAATGTTCGTTTTTAGACACACATAATACATTAAACATGACCATAAAATACTTATAGTTACTTGTTTGGTTGCTCTTAATCAGTGTATAATAAATGTTACCGTATGGACACACAAATAATTAATGTGACCATATATTGCCTTTTAGTTACGTTGCATTCAAATGTCAATATTTGTTCCATGATACAGCTACATAAACATTTGCTTCATATGACCATATAATAATCTATTGTCTCTTATTAAAACCATCACAAAGTTTTTCCATATATCTAACAAACATGTGGCGGATGGTGACATTTGGCCTCATTGTTCCATTGTAGCTAATAATTGTCACATTTGTTATGTTTAAACGTGTCTAAAGGTTTCAACTATATTACTAATGGTCATGAAATACAAATTAAAATGTCACTAAAACAATGGCAGAATTTCAGCAATAACCTTTAGACACAGTTTTAATCAAAAGTGTGATTTGGCGGTTTTGACAAAAGTGTGATCATAGGTCATTTTTGTACTAGTGTTAAGAGCCTAGTGTGTATAAATAAAACTTTTACCTCGTTAGTTAGAATGTCATTAATCTTTCTTATTCATGTGTACGCTAACCATTTCAAAGCAATTTTATTTAATAGATTCAATGGTGGTGTTTATTCAATCATTTGGTAATGTAGTCTTCTTTCATAAAATTGCAAACACATGTATTGCATAGATTGCATGTTGTATGATAGTTATTCTTAATCTAATCCTTTAATTATCTAAATGAAGATAAGTGATAGAAACTAGAATGGATAAGAAGATATAATTGTCAACATTGGTTTCATTTCAATAACATGGGTTATTTTATGTATAGCAAGGACTCTCAAGGGTACTTTCTGCATTTTATATTAACATGGAGGTAGTTAACGTAATTTTCACACTTCCCTTCACGAGTGTTGCAACCTTCACACGAATATGCAAGGAGAATGTGGCAACATGAGAAAAACCACTTAGAGTGTTAACTTTTCGCCAAAAGAACCTCCCTTAAACACATTTCCCCAATGCACAACGCATGAAACCCATGAACAGTAAAACTTCTTCAAGAATTTCATACAATCTACTTGATTTCTTCCATGAACCTCAAAGTATCCATACATTCTTCATACATGGTGAGTTCTGAAAAACCCATGTTGAAAATGAACCATAAACGCTTCCTTTTCACCAAGTTACCTCTAATGGCGTCTGCTGTCCTCATGGTCATCTTCATCATCTTCAACCTCTACATAAAAAACCCATTTCAACATTCATCAAATGTCCAAAACTACCCTTCAACAAAGCAATTCAGCCTCCTAATAGGGATCCTAACTCGAGCAGATAAACATGAACACCGCCATTTCCTTCGCCTCATCTATGGAATCCAATCCTCTCCCTTAGCTCAAATAGATCTTAAATTTGTATTCTGCAACCTCACAAAACAAGAACAAAGAGTGCTAATCTCCCTCGAGATCTTAAAATTCAATGACATTATCATTCTCAACTGTTCAGAAAACATGAACGATGGGAAAACCTACACATACTTCTCTTCACTTCCAAATATTCTATCTCACCCTTATGATTATGTCATGAAAGCAGATGATGATGTCTATTTTCGTCTTTTACCACTCGCATCATCTCTCCAACCACTTCCAAGATCAGATTTGTACTATGGGTTTGTGATTCCATGCCAAAGTATGAATCCGTTTGTGTCGTATATGTCCGGAATGGGGTTTGTTTTATCATGGGATTTAGTGGAATGGATTGCAAATTCGGATATTCCTAGGAATGATACAATTGGCCCAGAGGATAAACTGGTTGGAAAATGGTTAAATCTTGGGAAAAAAGCAAGAAATCGGGTTTCTAATAAGCCTGCTATGTATGATTATCCTGGCATGAATGGAAGGTGTTCACATGAGCTTATTCCTGAAACAATAGCTGTTCATAAGCTCAAAAGATGGGATCAATGGCTTGATGTGATTCGGTATTTTAATGTTACTAAAGATCTTAATACATCGAAGCTTTACAATGGTTTGAACTTTGACTCGATTTTCAATTTAAATATGTAAAATTTGTTCCTTTTTTTATGGTTAAATGTTATCGATCGTGCTTTTCAAATAGATATAGCGGCTTAAAATCAGGATAGTCGAGTCGACCGTATTTACCCTATTATCTAATTTTTCCTTTTTCCTTTTGATCTGTTGTCGATTGTATGAAATAATTCATTTTCAAACAAGGTTGACGATGTAATTTCTACATAAAAACACAATGTAGACAAAGAATGTGAATTTCTTTATTATCTTTCTTCATACATGTTAGCTCTCGCTCTTTACAATAATTCATCTGTATTTTATTGGAATCTTGTTTTCTTTCAATTATATTTTCTTGGAAGAACAGGAAGTTATGAAGTCATATGGATCTTGAAGTAGGTGCATTGTCATCAAACCTTTATGCTCCAAACAGCCTGAAATAAAGCAAGAAATTAATTAACACATTTTTGTCGTCCCAAAACAGGACTCAATAATTATTATAAACCCGGTCTTTTTCTTACCTTTGAAGAGTGGATTGCGAACGTCTGCTAGACAAAACAAATAAATAAATAAAAATTAACTATTTGTCTGAAAACCAAATTTTATAAATTATAATTAAAAATGTATATATTTAGATGACATGCCTCGTAGTTGGCGTTGTTGTAAGCTTTCCTTTTGGCAATGGTGCAGATTGAACCTCATCAGTAGCAATAGGCACAGTCCTAACCTGTGACATTATATCGAATATTAAAAAATAATAATAAATAAATAAAATGCCATCAATTATAGGCAAATATATATGTACCAAATTCTTGTAATGCAGATTGTAAAATAATTCAATGTATCTCTGTTTCGCTTCTTTCTGTTCCTTATTTATCCGCTTCCAGAATCCATAAACGTTCCCCATATTCAACACTTTATTCGCATAAATCTTCCACGTGTAGCTGAAAAAAATAATAGTAATTAATACCAAATGACCATTTTACCCTTAACTCGATAAAAAAACACTATTACCATTCATATATACGTTGCAATCCACCATCAGAAATTCTACTCCAATATCCATCATCCTCTTTACATTTCTGAAAAAAATCAGCAATCTTGTTGCTAGATTCATCGCCATTATTCGGATCAATTTGAAATCCAGAAACCCCATCAACAATAATCTCAGCGGGCCCACCTTGATTAGTTGCAAAAGTAGGCAACCCACAATTCATAGCCTCAATAACTGTTAACCCAAAAGCTTCATATAAAGCGGGTTGAACAAACGCGCCTTTTGAGTCAGCAATAATCCTGTACAATTCACTGTTTCTGTTTCGATCCGTTTGTGCAGCTATCCATCTTATTTGACCTTTTAATTCGTATTTTTCAATTAATAAATGCATGTTTTTAATTTCTGCCATTTCTTCTCTGTCTTTTGACTTTGAAGGGTCAAAAAAACCGGCTACAATTACGAGGTTGACCAGGGATCTGAGTCGCTTGTTTTGTCCGAACCACTCGGTGAGTCCGGTTATGTTTTTCACTGTGTCGAGTCTTGCCATTGAGAAGATGATTGGTTTCGTTTTGTCTTCTAAGTATCCGCTGTTTAATTGTTGATGATTAAATTAAATTAAATGCATATAATATAAAGTTTGAATAAAATATTGGTGGGTATATAATAATTGGTTTTACTCAGGGACCAAAACTGTAAAAGAAAAAATTTCGGGACTAAAACTGAAAACTTCGGGTATACTAAGGGACCAAATATGTAATTTACACTATTCTTTTGTTTTTAACTTACATGTGTTCGTCGTTTTCAACTTTACTAAACAGTAGTTCTTCAATGGCGGGTTGAAAAGAAGTGAATCGTTTTTGTGTTTCAGTGTAAGGGAAATAGACTGTTTGATCGGCTCCTGGAGATGCGATGTTGAATTTAGGATCGAAGACATTGATGCCTGAAACAACTCTGTATAATCCTGGAAGTGTAAAGGCCTCATGGCTTTCATATTGACCAGGCCTATCTTTACTGCAATTTGAATCAAAAAGGTCAAAATCATGATTTTATTGATAAGATTTAAGTAATTTGGTTGTGTTATGGTATGAAATCGATTCGAACCTTCCGGCTATTTCTTGAAAAGTACTGGTGATGATGAAATCGGCTGAATTCATTGCAATCATGTCAGCTGTGAATTGGCAGGAAAAGTGATATTTTGGGTCCAATTGCTTCCATTTCATGTCAGAATCTTCGTATTTTGTCTTCTCTAAAGCATGTGCGATTGTTCCCTGTAAAAATTCGTTTAAAGTTATGCTCAATTTGATCATTTATGGATAGAAATTTTCTAGGGTTTATGAACGTAGACATACCAATGTCGTCCCAAGTTTGTTGGCCATGAGAGATGCAACAAGGTTTCCATCGGTGTAATTTCCAATTATAAGATCTGGTTTTCCTTCCATCATTTCAAGAACTTTCGCACTTGCATCCTGTTGATTTCAGTTCGAATGATTAATCTAACATCGCACAAACTAAACACTAATTAACCAAAAAGAAGCATACCTGAGTGAACTTCTCAAGGTACGGATAAATATCAAATCGAGACACCCATTTACGAAGAATACCCTTTTCAGTCCTAAATGGAACCCTAACGATATGCGAATGCTTCGCGTTCATAACTGGTTCCAGCACCTGATTACATTTCGTCCCCTTCGCATCAGGAAGAAGACGAGTCACCTAATTTGGACCAACATTCAACGAAATTCTCAGAATTACAAACATCGATCGAATACGTTTCTAAAAACAAAAAACGAAAGAGTATTATGCTTACCACGATAATCTGAGGCTTGAAACTGAGTCCTTGTTGCTTAATCCTGAGGAGTAATTCTTCTTCTAAAGCAACAACTTGATCGAGAACATAAACTACTTGACCTCCGGTATCAGGTAAGCCGAGAACGTTAGATTGACCAAAATAGCCATGGATTGAGAATAACACGACATTGAAGATGCTTGGAACTCTGCTAAAAAATTTCTCGAGGTTTACGGGATCGGGGGCTTGAAAAACCTCCAGCAGAAACCCGATTGTTTCCCTCACTCTTTCTGCATTGTCTCCCCATCCCTTCTCAAAACCCCATTGTTTAAACCTGTACACATTCTAATTTTTGAATTTCCCGGAATTCAAATACAACTAACTGATTTACTTAAAATTACAGTTTCAGTCCAATGTGGAATTTGTTAGCCATTTTGGTCATCATGAATTCATTTCTTTGGGTTTTAGCCCCATCATAAGTGACTATTTTATCTTTTTATCTTTTTGTTATTTTGTCTCGACAAAATATATCAAAGCCAAACTTATAGAAAAAACCAGACAATTTGATTCTTAGTTTTTTAATAAATCAATTTTTTTTGGTTTAATTTGGTTTTTTATATTAAAGAAAAAAAATGAACCGAAGATACCAAAAATAACGTCGTTTTACATATAAGTTTTATTGGATTAATATTTTACAAGTAAAAATAGTTAACATGTATTATATTCCAATATAAATTAAAGGCATGTATGTGTTTATGTTAAAAATATAGAAAAACACAATAAACCCATATTCACCTTTACATTTTGTGACTAAAACCATAATAAAATAAACCACGAAGACCAAACTTGTAATTTTCACTTCAAAATAGGGACCATTTTTGTAATTACTTTAAAACTCTAAAAAGAAAGCTTACCTAAGCTCAAAGCTTTGATATGGCGTATCATTAGGCAAAGAGGAAAGGGCGGCATGAGCTACAATTAGAGCTGCTTGAAGTTTTGAAACTGTATTCAGTGTTTCATTCACCATGAGGTTCTGCATATTTGATTTAAAATGGGTTAATTACAACACTAATTAGAACAAAAATATGTTTCTTTTTTGTATATTCATACTTCTCCTTGATGATCCAGCGATAGTAAGTAATCAACGAGCAGCTGTTGGCTTCCAGATTGAGCATAAAGCTTCGAAGTAATAAACTTTGATGCGAAATTAACTCCATGTCCAATTGAAGAAGATAAGCTCATGGTAGGCGATTTGAAATCCATTGATCCAAAATCAAGCTCCAATGCGTTTTCGTCATTAGCCCTAAAAATTTGAACTTTATTAGCCCTTTTTCATTGGTAAACCCTATTTTAACATATTGCATACCAAGTTTCATCAACGATTGATTCCTTGAACTTCAAATAATCAGTAGCAGTGATCCCTTCGACTGATAGATCGTTGGAATTGACTTTAACAAACTCCCAGAATCCAGGATTTGGGCGTATAGCGAAGGCGATATAAGGAGGAACAATGGCAGCTTCCTGTAAGATTTAAAAATTAAATCTTAATTTCTGCTTGAAAAAAATATATAAAACCATTCTATTTTGTTATATTTTGATGTTTATTGATTTAAATATATTTTTTTTCAAATCAAACCATAAGAATTTCAGATATTTCTTTAACCGTTATTACATTATTTAGCTGGTCATAATGCTTAGTTTTGAAAATTAGTAATGTTTAGTTTAGAAAAATATTGATGGTTAAACCTTAAATCTACATGTAATATAATATTTTTTTTATTTACTTTTTTTTATTTTAGAAAATATATGTAAAAAAGTCGATTAATATAAACCTGAGTAGTGCACAAGATGTAGCCGAGTAAGCCTTCCAAGACTTGAGCTTTTTCATCTTTGTCCTCAATGACACTCTCCATTTCTTGCATCAAATGGTGGAGTTTCATCATTCTTTTACCTTTTTCTAAGTATTTTAGAAAGCATTTCTTCATGTGATACCGGCTTTGTCTCAAGGCTTCTGGCATGTTATCGACTATTGATTCTGATCTTTTCATAATGGAACTTGAAGAAGCCATTGATGAGTTTTTGATATGTTGAAGAGTGTGACAAATAACACAAGGAAAGTCTTGGTGTTATTGAATCAATGAATTGTGAAGAGAGTTTGTAGAATTTATAGGAAGATTTTAGGAGATTACTTTGCTTATAGTGTTGTCAACCCTTTGGAAATGTTGGGAATGGATGGTATCTAGAAATGTGTAAGGAGAGTCAAATAAAATGTGAGGCAGATTGTGAAAAGAAAAGAATTTTTGGTTTAGGGGAGAAGTTTGATTCTTAGTTTCGTGGCGAGGACATAACTTCTGTTATTGAATCTTGCTTTCTTATTTTATTTAATTTTGAGTAAATTACAAGTTAGGTGTCTGTATTTTATTAGAAATCTCAAGTTCAGTCCTAAATTCATACAAAATGACTTCAAATTTTGGACTTAAGTTAAAATAGGAACCAATTTTGTAAATTACTCTTCGGTTCTAATACCAAATATGTAAAATCTGGTATTTTTAATAATGATGTCCTAATTTAGGAGACGAATTTTTGTTATTTATAGTTTTATTTTGAACTTTTCAATTTTTAGTAAAACATTTCAAAATCAAGAGCTCCCATAAAAATAATAAATAAATAACTTTTTTTAAACTATGAAGATTATTACGTAATAATATTATATTTCTCATATAAACATGTATGCTTACTCTCGCTCAATAGGGAATGGCGCTTTACAAATCTTTGATTGTTGTTTCAAATCTTTTAGAAAATATTGATGTATTAATATCTTTTAGAAAATATATAGTTTCAAATCTTTGATGTGTTAAGTCATTTTGTAGAGTTGTTAGTCACTAGTCACTCGTCTCCTTTTTATACATGAAGGATTGAAGCCTCTCTACTGAACCATAACCAAGATTGCCCATCATTCCCGTTTTTTTTTTTTTAATAAATTGTTAAGAATTGGGATATTAATTTTTGGCTTAAACACTTTGGGCTACTTTAAATTTGAACTTTAAACAATTTCAATTTATAAATTAAGGGTAACCCATATTTTTTTCGACGTATCACCACAATACAAATAAAACGTATCACCACAATACAAATAAAATTTCTAAAAACTTTTATATGTTGGACGGAATTTGACAATACAAATAAAACGTATCACCACAATACAAATAAAATTTCTAAAAACTTTTATATGTTGGACGGAATTTGATGGATATCAAAGGCTACTCCATACACCTTAGTGGATTCGTCTATGATCGATCATAGGTAGGATTGCACAAAATCCTAAGATTTTGCATAGGGTCATGAATATGATTATTAATACTATTTAGAATATTAAACTTTAGATAAATCATCAATAAAATAAAAGTAAATTACATGAATGGTCTTTATGGTTTGATATAACTTGCGCGTTTAGTCTCTGACTTTTCTTTTTAACTCGGACAGTCCTTATAATATATTTTATTGCATATTTGGTCCCACCAAACGTAAAAATAAAAATAAATAAATAAACTATTTTACTCTCTTAATTTTCTATTTTCTGTTTTTTTAAAGTTAAAAAATAAAAAATACAAGTAAACAATAATCAGCAACCACACCAACCCCTTTCCTTCTACCTTCTCATTTTTGTTTTCATGTGTCTCCATTTCTTCCTAAATGAGATTATCGATGCTACACTACCACATCGGAATAAACAAATATTAACCACAGAAATTATTAAAGGAAATTAATAAGGTAATATAGTTTTGCTATATCAACCAAGGACTAGACGTCCAATAAAAACTTACAATAGGATCTTTCGAGTTAAAAATAAAAATTAAGGACTAACTGTACAAATTATACTAAACCATAAGGATCATTCATGTAATTTACTCATAAAATAATATGCTGATATTATCCTTTTTATTCGGATTTTATTCTATCTAAGGAAACATTTTGAAATGATTTACATCTTGATGAAAAACAATAACTAATATTTAGGTATTTTCTTTTTCATTGAAGCTCTTTTTTATTTTAAAGCAACATTTCAATTAATTTTAATTTACAATGGAAAATTATACTTGTACATTTATACTAATGTATCATTTTTCATTTTAGTAAAATTATAAATGAATCAAACGTCTAACAAATTGTTCTTTGTAAAGTTTGTTTATTTAATAAATAAATGAATATGAACAAGATTTTATGTTCATTTAGTTAGATGAATGAACCCTACCAACAATCTTTTTCATTCATTTATATTTTTTCATTAATGTTGTTTATGTTCAATCTATTTTAGTTTGTTTATGTATATTTATGTTGGTTTACGTTTCTTTACATTTACTTATGTTTGTGAGTTTTGTTATTTTCTTAAATCCTTTCTAGCAACATCTATTTCATGGCTTGTTCATATATGTTGATGCTTGATTAAAGATGAAAGAAAATAGGTAATTATGGTAGAATCTTTCGATCTAGATCCGATTTAATGAAATAAAAACAATCATACGTAAGAAGATTCTGATCTTTGATAACCTTGATTTCAGATAACAGTGAATATTCAAACTCGTTAAAAGTTCAAGTCAAACACAATGGAAAAATCCAGTTTCCTTCGATGAACAATGTACAATTTTAAAACATCAATATAATTTCCTATAAACCAAAACGAACTACAAAAAATATCACAGAATTAATATAACACCTCTGTATACATTGTTATTCTGAAAGATCATTTATTACCTTTGTACAATATAAAATACAATCATGTAACATCCTTTTATACTTAACCCTCCACGAAATCGCCAACTTCCATTTCTCCAGGGACCTTTTTGTCTTTTTGGTTAAACCCATCTCACCACCAATTCCATCACCCACTAAACCGTTGACTTTCACAAACTCACAACTCTCACCAGTCAAACCCAACAACACATTCTTGACCTCCATTACCGACTCAAACTCTTTTTCCATAACAGACAACAATAACTCATCTTCCTCAATAGACGTTGATAAATTCTTCAACACTTGATTACATTTCTTTACTAACCACTCCATAACAATGATCTCATTTTCAGTTGAAATAGAAGACCCAGAATACGCAATGTATCGAATTGATTTTTGTAAATGTGTTGGTGTTGCCCATAATCGCATTGATGCCAACAAGGCAAAAGAGGGGGTCCCGTTATGGTGAATGTATAGGGAGTCTTTTGGCCATGAATGTAGAGAGTGTAGGTCAGGAGGTAAAGGGATGTATGCCTTGTCATTTGGATTTGAATTTAGAATGAAACCATAGTGTTCCAGAAGCTCTAAGTTTGTGTATGTTCCATAGCTTAATAGAACCTTGAAGATGAAAAAAAAAAAAAAAAAATTGATGACTTAATACGATATTTAACATAGACATGTGATTATCCATTGTTGATATTTGATTAAAATAAAAGACTAAGATTTCGTCCGACATCGATGGAATAAGGAAATGTAGAATGATCTACACACATTGGTGTCGAAGTCCCCCAATCAAATAGATTTTGAGTAATTTATTATTTTCTTTTCTTCTCTTGTTTTAGAGTATAGAAAAGTATGGGTTAAATCTTTGGAGAGTATAGGTGTATTTTGAGATATTAGTCTATGTGATTGTAACAATTTATCAAAGACACGATTGGTGTTTTTTCTCCGATTTTAGAGTTTTCCACATCTTTGGAGATTATGGGTATATTTTGAGAGATTAGTTTATGTGATTGTAACAATTTATCATATATTGGATTGGTAGTGTATTGTCTCCGGTTTTAGAGTTTTCCACGTATATTCTTGTGTTCAAATTTTTTCTATTATTTGTCATTGGGAGGATTGTTGGTGATCTTTGAGACCATTTTACCAACATCTATTATACCTGATCTCCTTTTTTGTAGTTTGTTCTAGCATAGAAGCAGTATGCATCATATTCATCTTCAAACACACCATCTGTCAACCTAGCTGAGATACCATCCATCTGCTCTCCATCATCATCCCTGAAATCTTCAGACACAACTTGTTCCTCCTCGGGTGCAGCATAATTGAAAAAATCCCCAATCGGGCAAAAACAACCAGCAGCATCCCATGGAACATGCATTGTGCGTGAAGATATCTTCATTCAACAAAACCCTAATCATGTATTATTATATCTCGATCAAGTTTTACACATTTAAATACCAAATAAACTTACAGATCCAGAAGCCCATATCCATGCCTTCAAGCTCATGTAATGTGGCTTAAACAAAAGTTCTTCCATTATCACAGTAGCACTTTCCCACTCCATTTTCGTCTTCTCCAATGCCTTTTCCGCAGCCCAAATAGCATCATCTAACTGCCAGTTACTTCAAAACACTTCAGAATAACATTTTTTATATACTAAAACGCATACATGTAGTAAATTGGATAATAAGTATATTCTCACTTGCAAAGCTTGAATCTCAAATTGATCAAAACTTGCTAATATATCATAATTTGAAGGAAATTGTGTCAAGTATGGATACCACGAAGAACACTTTCCCTTTCCCAGTTCATTCAGCAATGCCACTGTCAATATCTGCCCCCAAACTCATCATTCGTTATACGGAAAACAAAATACAGTTTCAGGCGATTAATCGAGCAATACCTGAGTCGAAGACAGAGAAAACTTAGAAATTGAAATGGAGAGCTTATGATCATTCATCATTAGGGTTTGGGAGGTCATGAGAGCTGATTTTGGAACTCTGAGTATCAATTGACCTTTTTGAAGATCACGCACTGCACATAATCCTCTCCTGAAAGTTACGATATAATCAAAATAAAAAAACACAGATACAAAAGTGTAAATGGATTGAGAGATTTTATGTTACCCTCCGGCGTTAGGGAAATAGGATATGGTGAGAGATTTTCCCAAGCAACAAGGCGAATGAAGATGATTGGGGTTCTGGTTGTCGTCTGGAGAATCTGAAACTCCGAGTGTAGTTGCCCAATCCATGAAGTGTTCCAGTTTCGCTGCTTCTTCCATCTCCGTTGCTCGGCCACCGGCTACCGGATCAACCAGACAAGACAACCACCTAGGTGTCAATTTATGACGGGACATGACAAAAATACAAGACACGAAACGAAATCGGGACGAAATCAAAATTCGAATTCGTTTTCGTGTCGTGTTCGTGTCAAGTTTAAAAAACACGATGTCGTGTCGTGTCGTGTTCGTGTTTACAAATCCACACGATTGAACATGTATTTGTCGTGTTTTCGTGTTTGTCGTTTTTATCGTGTTATATATGATTAAATATGAATTAAATAAAATAATAGTTATGTGATATTATTTTTGTCGTGTCGTGTCGTGTTGTCGTTTTTTAATTGGTTCGTTTTCGTGTTAGTGAAAAGAAAATACGACATCGTGTCGTGTCGTGTTCGTGTTATAAAAAACTTTGTCGTGTCGTGTCGTGTCAGACAAAAACACGACACGACACAAAAACACGACACGACGGCCCAATTTGACAGTCCTAAAACCACCAAACAGCCTAAACGAAATCTCCAGAAAAGCTAACACTCGATAGGCCCAGTGTACTTAAGCCAACGTGGGCCAATAGACCCAATATTGAGTAGATACTAAATATACTCCGGGTTTTGGAAAATAGAATAAATTCGATCCGACAAACATGAAACAGGTCCCCAAAGAACCGAAATCAGAGATGGGCCTTCGATATTAGAGATTAATAAAAGACAAATCTAAAAAAAAAAAATAGTCTCTATAGTTTTTCATAATTTTGGCTTGGGTTTTCTACCACAATAAAATATCATTATTTTAGAAAAAAATTTAACAAATGCTTGGTGTCTTTTTTTTCTTTAAAAAAGAAAAGGTTTAATTATCTAACAGAAACATCTAAGAAACCACTTAATTTATTTGTTTTAGTTTTTTCTGATATGTTCAGAAAATCATGAGACAAATCATTAATGATCCCAAAATAATTGAATCTTTTTTGCAGGTTTTTTCAAAATTGGTAAAAAATATATAAACGTATTTTTATGTATTTATATGTAATTTTACATATTTAAGATTTTTCTAAGTTATATATATATATATATATATATATATATATATATATATATATATATATATATATATATATATATATATATATATATATAAGTTTACGTACTTTTTAGGTATTTTAAATATATAAATGTTTTTTACGTATTTATA